ATTACAAAATTTATAAATTTCATCCAAATTTGTTTTGAACGCCACAAAGATCAACAAATCTTGATAAGTTCGATTTGTTCTTCAAAGAACAAAAATTGGAAGCAAAACAATCCCTTGTATTAATCCCTCAAATGTCAAAAGTTCCAATACAATGAAAATAAAGTCCTATTTATATGAAAACCGAAGGATCTAATTAAAAGGTAAAAATACGTTCAAGTAATCCTAAAAATAATAAAAGATTAGAATTCTACCCAAAATAGGAAACTTTTGGAAAACTGCAACTTTGGTCCCCGAAGTATACTATGCAGTCGCATAGATCAAAGTGTAGCTGCCCTTTAACTCCTTGCCACCCTGTATGCGACTGCATGGATGGAAGCACTATGCGATCGCATAGTGGCCAGTCTTGGCTCCAAATTTGGCCTCTTGAAGCAAGCATCTCCCCTCCATTTCGGCCTTCGTCTCCAACACCAATCTTGCTCCTTGGCATGTCATCTTCAACCTCGTGAACTCCATAGCTCAACCATGCAATGTGTGAATTGTATTGCCCATTTGAGGTCTTGAACACAGCTTTGGATTCTTCCAATCAATCACCAAGTTCTTGATAATCAGCGGTGCAACCCAGATCATATCAGAAGTCCTACAATGAAATGGGAGTATGATCCCCATGGACAAAGGGAATACCATTTCCAAGAATCCCCTTTCCCCAAAGACCTGGGTTGGAAGATCGTTTGGAAAATGTCGCATGTCGTCACCAAGGGAGGTCTCTTTTCACAAGAAGTAGGTCCCACTAACTCTGTCCAAGCATTGGGGAGAACTAGGTAGGGTTAATCCGTACAATCTCAAAATGAAGCCCTACCTTTACGAAAATCTCGCTGATGATGATGCAATCTTGCCTGGAAAGCAAGCTCATTCATCAGGAGAGGGGGCTAGGAGTTCAATATCGTAAAGGATGTAATATTTTTTTCTTAAGTTGACCAGGTTGAACGAAATTAAAATGGATGGGATTTTGGCAGCTCCCAACCACCTAATCACCTACCCTACCCCCTTTAAGGTAAGATACTTTGCGTGGCCCTAATAGCTTTGGATAACGTCGATTGCATTTCTTAAGGTAGCCCCTATCGCAGAGGCCAGCTGACTTATGTCATAATCCCTCCTAGGAAGTGAAGTTGCCATTATATCAATAAGCGCAATAGTCTCGAATACTTATGAGTTTAGACAAAAAGATACCTAACGGGAATGATCAGAAATTGCAAAAGAAGAGTTGAAAGAGATTGAGGAAAACAGGAAGGATAGGGAGGAAATTCTGGAGAAAATCTGAATTCTGTGATTTACAAAGATAAAAGTGATTTTTGCCCTAGGTTATTGCCAATTATAGGCAGAAGCACTTAATCCCAACTGTTGGATGTTGATCTGAATCATTTAATCGTTCATTTGAAATTTAATCTGAACCATCCAGTATGTCTACTATTTTGCCTTCTATAGCCCAGATTAGAGCTTCTACACAATGCACTCCAATGCGTCTAAATAACGAAAGACACGCCCACAACAACCATCATTACTCATTAAATACAATGACAGTTGCGTGAGAAAGAAGTTGAACCGCTGCAACCTTCTTTTTTGGGAAAGTATAGGGGACAACAAATCATTTCAGCACGATAATTAAGGACACCTCGCACTCGTAAAAGTTGAACTGGCATACCTCTTCAGTATTATTGCTACAACTCCGTTCAAAGTAACTAAGCTTACCACTTTGGCTTCAACATATATAACTTTGGCATGACTTCAATTATGTAGGCCTAGCTTGAGCCTCCATTAAATTGGAAAAATATATTTTGAAATAGTAGATTGATGAAATGTGTTATTAAAAATAACAATAAGTTTTGGATTTACGCGTAATATTATTTTATTGAATAATGTGTAGTCAAAAAGAAAAAAGGAAAAAATGTATTTTGAAAAAGATGGGCATGAAACAAGGTCGTAATAGCAAGCAACATTGGTCAAATGAACCTAGGCTCTGCTTCAACTTAAGAGCAAAAGAAAGACACCAAGTACAACTTTAGCGAATAACCAAGATAAGTACTTCGAACGATTCATCATAAGTTATATTTTAAAATTTTGATTTTTATATAAATATCTGCAATTGGATTTGGGGGACTATTATTGTAGGTCAAAAATAACCACCCCCACAAAAAGTTTCGTTCTAATACAATACAAAAGTCAATGTATTGATCATACATAGACTTGGGGGACTATTGTTACGCCTCAGTTTGAGGCCCTCAGTGGAGGCTACATAAAAGTCACCTAGAGGCACTACATGTGATCAATAACAATCAACAAGATCAAAAATAAAGAAAGGAAACAAGCTGCTTTTTGGCTGAAGTACTATCTTCATCTGAAGCCTCTTGGGCTGAAGCACTTCCTTTTCTAACCGAGCCACAACACATCCGAAACTCTATCTCAAATCTAAAGCACCTGCCGCCTTTAAAGTGAGTCTAAAGAGTATCTTAGAAATGATTAATATAACATTTGTGTTAATGTATGTCAGAAATGTCAGCATAGAATGTAGGGTGGCTGATCCCATGTCAATATAATTTATGTATTACAAAGAGTGATGTGAGGTTCTGGTTATTGGGATGAGGCCACATGGCTCTGATCCAACGATGACCACGTTGGCCCCAGCTATATAAATGGCAGCTTTTGTATTCTTTAAAGGATTGAAAAACATATATGTAAGATAACACACTTGAACTCTCAGTAAAATCTCTTTGCAGAAAGGGGGTCAACACTAACTAATTTGATTAACTACAAATAAAACATCATATCAGATAGTCATAGTCATACACACCAAAATTACAAAAATTAAAGTAAGAATTCACTTTCTAGTCCTCACCAATTAAGTAAAAATATATCAATTCGATATTCAAGGATAAGGAAAGAATTAAAAAAATCATGTTCTGAAAAAACCATTTTTCAAAATAATAGTTTTCTGTTTTGAGAAACCATTTTTCAAAATAACAAACCAAACACGTTTTCTGTAATTTGAAAATAGTCCCTCAAAATAGAAAAGGTTTTCTATTTCAAAAATGAAAATAGAAAACGGAAACGCAAACCAAACGCACCCTTATATTCTTTAAATTTTATGCTGTGATCAAAGTTGTAAATTGTAATTAAGAGATTTATTTATTGACTGTAATCTAATACTTAATTACGAAGTTTACAAGAATAAAAGTAAAAGGAAAAGAGGATAAATACTAAAATAGAAAGTCTTGGATTTTGATTGTTGGGTCTGGGTATTTTGTGGTGGCCGGGATGGATTTTACTTTGAGATTCCTTTTTCTTAATAAAATTATGGATTGTGCTACATGTACATAACAATTTACATAATGATTTACCAACAAATGATGTGGCAGAATTTAATTGGATCAAAATATCATGAATCAAATAATTTTCCCACTTACATTTTGACACATCATCATTATGTAAAATATTATGTAAATTGTTATGTACAAGAAGCATTTTCCTAAAATTATTCACTATTATAAGGGGAAAAATAATATTATAAATTTCAAAATTCTGGGGCACTGCATAATCATGGGCCGTAGTTGACCGTCTAGTTGGCTTCATGGTTCTATCGGCTCTGTTTTTGGGAGGCTTCTAGGTAAAATATATACTATTTCTTGCAAAAATTGTTTAAGATCAAGTTTGCAAAGAGACTCCTTTCTATTTCTAATATTTAGTAAATTGGGATGAATCAAGTTATTTGTGGGTTTAAATTTTAAAATTCAGATTTATGGATATCTTCATATTATTTGGCAAACAATTGTGTAACACGTCAATCTAAGGTGGAGCCACATTGGCTATCAACCCTAAATATTTCGACAATGACCGTTGAATTAATACTGTAATGTGATCATTTGAGAGTGTCACATGGAAAATAAAACTAAGGATTTAATGCATATTTGAAAAAATGTATTTTAGTGATTTTACCTTGTTCCCAATATTCGACTTGATCGAGGATAATACGTAAGAATAATTAGTCAAGAATATAATTATTGTTTGCATAGTTTTAGTAAATTTCAATTAGAATAAAAGTACAATATCATTTTTCAGTGAAATAGAATGTGACTAATAAATTATCTGGATTAATTAAGAGTTAATTATGTCAAAATTAATTTGTTGAAATTTAGTTTAATTGGGTCCGTTTCGTCCATTCGATGACTTCAAAATAAGAATTGCAAAAAATGATAAGAGATATAATTTATTATTCAGTTAGTTTAATTATTAATTAATTAAATCGGAATGGGTTATGCACGTGTCATTATTTTTTTTTATTTGAATTAGAATTAAAAGGAAAGTCCATTTAGATTAGTATCCTTCTCCAAATAAATAAATAACAAAAAAAGAGTTGTTTAGAAATTAGGATATTTCGTTAATCCAAAATCAATTCCATTCCATATTATAAATAATCAAAAGAAAAGAGTTCTTTTGGGAGTAGGATATTTCCTTATTCGAAAATTATAAAAGTTATAATTTATTATTAACGGTAGAATGATTAAGGTCCTGTTTGGTACACATTAATATAAAAATAAGAATAAAAAATATAGTCGTTACAGGCCTCACAGAAGAGATAGAAAGTCAGATATGGTGGCTTAATGTGATGGATAGCAATCATATTTTTCATTTTAATGAGCAAATAATGAGAAACAAACGGGGGCTAAATCAGAATGTTTGTCCTTAATTTTTTTTTTTTTTTAATTAGAATTAAAAGGAAAGTCCTTTTAGATTAGTATCTCCTTTTAGATTAGTATCATTCTCCAAATGAATAAATGAAATAAAAAGAGTCGTTTCGGAATTAGGATGATTGAATTTCTGGAAAATAATCGAAGAAAAGAGTTCTTGTGCGAGTAGGAAGTTTCCTTATCCAAAATCAATAATCAATTCTAATTTTTTTAATACAACACAAAACCTCTAATCAAATTATTTTTTCTCCCCAAGTTTATGCATCTGTCAACTTTTCTCAAAATTTCTCTCTAGTTTCAGCTTTCAAATGTGTACGGAACGAAAGATTTGAGAAGTATTGTCCACCCCATCAACATCAACATCAAAGATTCAGCAAAAAATATTTTCTACCATTACAGAAAAACACGATCAACATCAGGTGGTGATTTCGATCTTGTCCTCGTTAATTTCCTCAAGAATGACCAAACGTTCAGATATATAACGCTTTGGGACATTGTGTTTCTTGTGCATCTGAGCAACGATATTGTCCTGTCTATATTTCTACTAGAATGGGAGAAAGAAAAGTGCTAAACAAGTATTATCCACCGGACTTCGATCCGGCAAAGATTCCACGGCGGCAGCAGCCAAAGAATAAACAATTCACTATCCGCAATATGCTTCCCATGAGCATTCGTTGTACAACTTGTGGGAACTACATGTATAAGGGTACAAAGTTTAATATGCGCAAAGAAGAAGCTATCAGGGAGACTTATTTGGGAATTCGAATTTTTAGGTTCTATACCAAATGCAACAAATGCTCAGCGGAAATAACATTCAAGACTGATCCACAGAATTCGGATTATGCTCTTGAATGCGGTGCCACGAGAAATTTCGAGCCTTGGCGTGCAGAGGATGAAGAGAAAAGGAAAAGGAATATAGATGATATGGGAGATGCGATGAAATCATTGGAGAATAGGTGTTTGGACTCGAAGAGGGAACTGGATATCCTGGTTGCTTTGGATGATATCATGTGTATAAATTCGAGACACGAAAGGGTGAGTGTAGATTCAACGCTCGAAGCTTTGCAACAGAAAAATGAGGCGAATGAAAGGGAATTGGAAGAAGAGGATGAGGCTCTTATAGAATCCGTGTTTAAGGGGGCACGACAGCATATTTTACGAAGGATTGATGATGAAGAAGATTTAACTGTGTTTTCACCTGAGAAGAGAAGAAAGCTATCTACCGACCTTCCAAACCCAGCAGATTCTTTACCGAAAGGCAGTGTTCGTGACAGCTTCAAGAGTCGAAATAATGGTAAATTCATTCTGAAATCTTCATCGGTCACAGTTTCTATTCTTAAGAAACCACTTCCCGATTCCAATAGTAACAAGGCAGGAAAGAAGGAGCCGAAGAATCAGGAGGCAGGATCCATTGCAAGTAGTGGGTTACAATCATTATGCCAGCAATATGGAAGTAATGAAGACGATTGATGGCAAAGAACCATCCCACTTGTTTCAGATGGGCAGCGTAATTGTATTTGTTGTATTTAGTTTGGTGTGAAGCAAGTTTGATATTTAGATCTTGAGTTCTTGACTGATACTTACAGTATATTGCATTTATCATCCAATTTTTCATGTACCAGTTGATTCTTGCTCTTTTTTCAAATACAATTTTGTGTTTCTTGAAGTTAAGTAAGTTACTTTCATCTACCTTGTGTTAGTAAAAAGGGAAGATGGAACAGGGAAAAAACAAAGCATTGATCCTTCCCATGGTTGTGGTTCTTCTATTGGGAAGGAGGATGTTGCATTCTACCCATCTTCACCCTTTTAGTTTGTTTAACTGGTGATTGCTAATCAGTACGCTCTCATTGAGTGTGAATTTATAGTTATTGACCAGTAATACTGCAGTTTTTTCTGCCTGATAATGTAAACTGCATCTTTTCCACCGGATATTAATATGCGTAAAAGAAAGATTGTCATTCATCATTAATTGTGTTTACTGTTAAGTTTTATATGCTGTTTGTATCGTCATTGTTCATATATATCCATGTGAAACTCTATATGTGAAGGCTTTTGATTTATCCAACAATTGAGTAGCTTATATGTGTTATATAATTAGCAGCAGGAGGAATGTGTTCTTAAGCTAATGTCAGGTATTGTGGCTAGTTTTTGATTATATCACACAGCTTGATGCTAATTTTAATGGGTGATGTGGATTTATTGTTTAAATTTCAGGTGCTGTGCTGCATGCATTGACTACTGGGCTACCATCACAAGCCTATGCCCACTTTGGCAGAATGCGTTTCAATTGATAACATGTATACCTGTGAGTATGAAAAGTTGTTTGAATTTTTGGACCTTCTCCTTCATCATTTTGATGTCCTTCCTTGTGTGTTCATTCTTATTGACCTATGCACGTGATGATTCTTAAAGTGATTGTTAAAAACTTAACAATTTGATCTTTGAAATTCTACACTAATATCTTAACCAGGAAATGGTTACTCGTGCGTCTTATGATTAATGAAGGTATAAGAGAGTTAATGCTTTGGTTTGAGGATGTGGGAAGGAGGAAATTCTCTCCCTCTGACTCCGTGCAGCCCCTTTGATTCAAAAATTAGGAGGAAAAGAGAGCACAATAAGCAACGTTAGTTGGTCATTACCGAGGATATACTCATAACCACCTAAATTTTGGAGGTCAAAGGATAAAACGATCAAAGTTTATTCACCAGTAGATTTTAGTGATAGATGGATTGTTTTTTGAACCTTGTCCCATACATTACTCTGACTAGAATAAAGTAAGTAACAAGATAACGAAGAAACCAAGAAAATAAAATAGAGCAGCAGAGCACTGAAAGACCCAAGAAATGGCTTCTGATGAACCACATGGTAAATAGTCTCATCAAGATTGTTACCCTCTACATCTCAAGTCACATTTTATGGTTATTGATTGACTTCATGCATAGCTGCATCATTGCCTGCGAAATATGAACAGAGTACCATGTAGCACTGGTTTTCTTGAAAGACAAAACCTCTCTGAATAGACAAAATTCAAATGAGTAAAACAGACTTATGAGGCAATTTTACATGGAAAGACCATCTTTCAATCAAAAATTCAATTTGACTCAAATATGTTCTTTACTCATTTGGATGCAAAGGTAATGCATCTTGTGAACAAATTACACCATTTTGAGACCGATCATTTTAGTTTATAAATTACCAATCGATGTAGAGAGAGAACAAATTTTGCTTAAAAGCGAGGTACAGAATTACATTAAAAGGGGAGGCTATTGGATAAATATTTAAATTTTTCTCTAAAACCAATTGTACTTCTCTCTTGTTGTTTGTAAATTTGTATCTTGATTTGGTCAATAAAACGTGGCAGATATAAGGGTGTCAAACAATATTCCAGTTCTTGTAAAGGCAGCCAATGAATGGACTGTAGAGGGGGTAGTGATTAAGCTACACTCCATCATCTGCTACCAGATATAAGGCTAGGACTACACTACCATGTTGTAGTTGATTCATGACTTCCAGTTTATGCTGGTTCTATCTCTCTGTTTTCTTTGGATAAAAAACATCAGCAGATTCATCAGAAACTAAATGTTTGTCATTTAAGGGTTTTATATTTAAACCCAAAAATTCTTTGTTCTCAGACTACAAGTTTATGTTTCTTATAACTAGTCTTGAGATATTTCTGCTCAAATCATTTCATCTATTTTCTTGCAAAATCTAGTTTGCAAAATCATTTATGCTGGTTCTATCTCTGTTTTCTTTGGATAAAAAACATCAGCAGATTCATCAGAAACTAAATGTTTGTCATTTAAGGGTTTTATATTTAAACCCAAAAATTCTTTGTTCTCAGACTACAAGTTTATGTTTCCTATAACTAGTCTTGAGACATTTCTGCTCAAATCATTTCATCTGTTTGCTTGCAAAATCTAGTTTGCAGTCTATCCCAGATATTTACAATCATTCTGCATAACAATGAACTGCAGGTGTTTTTTTGCGCATTTTTATTTAGATAAAGGAAATTACATGTCCTTTAATATAAATCTTTTTGTTAAATTCACATCAGTATCACCAGAGCAGCACTTAGTTCGCACGAATCAAAAATAGTGACTTCCTTGTTGTTTATCTTTTCTGAACTCACCTATTTGTTTTCACTAGTTATAGAATACTAAAGCTATAACTTTGTTAGTCATAATTGTTTGAAAAATAGAATATAATTAGTAATATTTTAATCAACTTTAATATTGGAAGTATTCCAGGAGCTTTTATTGATATATTTTAATTGAAAAATTGCCACATGTTTTTTAATTTTTTTAAATAAAAAATTAGTCAATTATGCCTTGAAAACTATAATTGAAAAGCTATGTAACTGATACAGATGCTGCTTCAGAAGCTGAATGAGCAGCAAGATACTAAAGGATATAATCTTCCCAGAATAAAGTTTTTCCCTTGGAATTGGAGAAAAAATTTAGCCAATTTCAGTTCTTTCTGTCTACAATGAAGTTCCTACGACTTCAAGTTCCTGTTCATTATAACTCTCCTTTAACATACATCAAAAACTACATAATTGTACATTATATCTAGTTTGAGCAAATTTATGTTCAATACATCTGGGTAATGAGACATTTCTGCTCAATTTATTTTGGTCTGCTACCTTTCTTCATTAAAACTAGTTTGCAGTCTATTCAATATATTTACAATCATCCCAGATATCAATGAAATGCAGGTGCAATTTTTGTGCATGTAAAATTATGCGGAATAATATTGCCCATAACAGGCTCTACACAAAAAAAAAATTGGAGCTACTTCATATATTAAATTGTTTATGTTCATAAGCAATAACAACATATATTTGTAAGGACGAATATTTTGTTGAATAAAAGAAAATGCTAGTTAATGATGTCGATTATGATAAAAATGTTATATACCCTTTAGCATAAACATGTTGTGTTAATTTTTTTTATTTTCCATGAACCAGTCTTTCGTGAGCACTCTCTAACCTTTATTGTTTTGCTAGAAAGGTCGGTGAAATTTCTAGAGCATGTTTGGTAGAGATTTTAATCTAATTAAAATCAATTTTTCGACCGTTATTTCACTATTTCAGCTGTCATTTTTGAATTCTTCTCTCACAGGTAGGACTCACTTTACCTCTAACAGTCAAAAAATCAATTAACAAAATCCTTACCAAACAAGCGCCTAAAATGAAAAGTGGAAATCATTTGTGAATCTGACCAGAAAAGAATCCAAGTTGAAGATGAAAGAATTGGAGAAACCAGATTACCAAATGAACATTAAAAGAAGATTGATTATGAAAGAAGCTTTAAGCAGGAGAATCAACAGACTCTCCTTATCTGTTATGAAATCCAAGAAAGATGAAGGAAATAGCAAAACCAAGAGCAATGGACAATATAAAAGTGATGATCAAATGATTTGATGATCATGTATTTGTCAAATAATGTTTGAAATATGCATGTCGGCTATTTTGGGTTTCCCCTTTGTTTATTTATTTATTTTCCATTTTTGGTGTGGTACTATAATAAAACTTTGCCCTTGCTGCATTTTATCTCTTGATATAACTTTTATTTTGCATTCTTTGATTCTTAATTGGGAAAGCAGATCAGGATGTATGTGAATGTGTCACGATCAAGTAAGTTAGCCTCGAGCAATGCAACAGCACTTAACCCACATTTAGTTAAACTAGCAGCACCTAACATGCAGGCAAATAAAAATAGACCCATCCCTACCTCTACTTGATGATAGAACAACACAGTTGCCTCAACCGCCCAAAAAAATGGATAATTGGTACAAAGTGTGCTTATCTTTTTCCCTCCTTGCAAGAATAGTCTCTTTCGCTTGAAATTTTGCACTTGTATCTGTCATGGGTTGGACCATTTATTTTTATTTTATGTAGTTGGGCTTGTATTCTTAGTTGGCTAGCCGAAAGTCCTTTAAGGTTGTTTTGTTCTAGATATAGGTGTATATTTGCATTTGGAAAGGACGATGATGAATAAAATTGAAATTGAGGCTTTGGCTTGCAACCATCATTTTCTCCCTTCTCCCTGAATCTCTGCTTCTTCTCTGGCTTCTTTTCCTTTCTTCTTCAATATCTTCTTCTTTGTTTCTGTACTCTTCTTCTTCTCTGTATCTCTATTCTTCTCTGATTTCTTGTTCTTATTTTTAATCATTTAATCCCCTCATTCTCCTTTTATCTTAATTCGGTTCCAAGTTCAGCTGGTTTTAGCTGGATTACTTTATTGTTTGAGCTGTACGAGTGGATGGTTTCAAAATGAGGTTTAATTCATGACAAAATGGTATCAGAGTAGCTACAGTCTTTGGGTGTCTCTCGATTGGATATCATCATGGAAGATTTTAATAGAATCCATGAGCAGATGATTTCAATGTTGACTAAAATTATTGAAGCTAAATCAACCTTTAGAGATAAGTCCAACCATTACAGTTCTTCTGCAGAAATAGTCGAGGCTTTGGATGTGCAAATGGACGATTCGAGTTCTAAATCAAAAGAGGGCCGAGTCAAACAGGTTAGTTTATGTAATTTGAGCATAGATGATGATTCAGTTGCTGCAATTACAAGTGTGTTTGTCGATGGGGATAGTGAAATTATAGTTATTCCTAATGAAAAAAAAAAATTGGTGGGTCAGGAGAATGGATTCTATGCAG